GTTCTCCGTCGCTTTTCGGGGGGCGAAGAGTAACGCTTAGGAAGGAACACGTCTCATAATCATTTTTGTCGCGGCATTGTCGCGTGATATATGTCTACTTTGGTATCTGATCGGCGCCTCTTATCGCCGTCCTCGTGGTAGAAGAGGCTTCTCGAGCGGAGAAGCTCGTTGCCTCTGATGAGGTAGCACCTAAACGATTTTCTATACTTTTTTCTCTTTCTTATTACCATAGGTGATTTTAAAATTTCTTCGGTTATTGATTAAAGATTATCGATTATGTAGAAAGTGTGGAAAGGTAAGAATAAGAAAGGGTTTATGATTTGTTATTTTAACGTTGCGGTTTTATTTGTGTTATCGTCGCGTTGGAATCGGTGTAGCAAAGCGGACAACAAGAGGCAAAAACGAGGAGAATGCGAGCGATAAAGACAAACGTACGTTGTTGCATAACTCTTCGCGGTATCGTGCCGAGTCGTCTGACGTTAATAAGAAAAAGGGAACCGATTCAGCAGATCTGACTCGATAGCGGTTACCATATTTGTCAAAAATTTCACAAGAGAATGAGAATAGGTATCCCACAGTTGGTAAAATATGACAATGATAAATACCTCAATTTTCAAATAAATCAACATTTTATAAACGTTTATTTAATAGATGTTCCAATATTTCATTCTAAACAACGGATCGAATTTGTAAGTTTATAAGTTATAAAATTTTTTCCATTTTATGTAAATACCATTCCAATTTATCAGTTAGTCGGATTTATAAAACTCGAACTGGTTCGTCTCTCTTTAGAGTTTTCGTTATCTACGGATCGCATTAGCGGCGTCGGTCGCTATCGCCCCAGTGGCAGCACTATCGCCGACGCCGAGCGCTATCAGCGGCTGATGGAAGTCGCTCGGACTAATTGCCGTAAAATATCGGGGTACTTAGGCTACGGAGAGGATCTTTTTCTCTTTTCTCGTCGTCTTTTTCGTCTTTGTAAACGACGCGGTGTGCGCGCGTATCGTGAGCGCGACTCAGCAGCTCCCCCAACCCAACCTTCTCTTTGTAGAAGAAGAACTCTGACGAACGACTTTTTTATTTTCCCTTTTTTAATAAAACTCGAGACTCGTTCGTTCGCTCGCTCGCTCGCTCATCCGACAACTGCGATAGTCGATGGTTTTAATGTCGTTGCGCGGATGGGCGACTGACTGCCTTTTTCTCACTTAACACTTATCTCTTCGTCTGGTTGTAATGTATGCGTGAGTATGTATCTTTTATGCTTGTCCAAGCACGCCGGGGAGCTACGATTGAGTAATAAGTTCAAGGAAAAAGTATGTTTCAGAATTAATTTGATGTAATTTAATTATAAAACAGTTTGTATCATTTCTCTTATCTCCTAGAATAAACTCAAATAACATTTATGTAGGTAACAAGAATTTTGATTAATAAGTATCAAGTTTGTTTGAGTTAAATTTCTTATAGGAAGGTAACTTCTAATCTTCGTTCCCAGTGGCGTCTCGGGTTGACTATGAAAGTTTCGGGGATCGGCTAATAAATTAAAAAAGGTCGCCCCGCGGCCCGGATAACGTTTGTACATAAATATAGCTGGCTTATTCGCATGCAAAGTGCGCGGAAGCCGGAGAACCGGCCGAGCGATACGCCTTTATCAGTTTTAAAAAGTTTAATCCCGTCGTATCGCCGCCGCCCAACCGCCTCACCGCCGCCCGTTTTAACCATCTACCGGCGGCGGCGACGCCGTATCGGGAAGAAACAGGGGGACTTTGGGGGGTTGACTGGGGGGTCGCTGCATATACGGGTCGGGGCTGTGCAACGGCAGATAGCGGGAAGATACGAGCTATAGGAAGCAGGAAACGAGACGGCAGATAAGAAAGTAATATGGCGGCTGGTGTAAAGAGATAACGGCCGATACGAGCGAAACCGCCACCACTACCGCCACCGGAAGGGCGTACGTGTGGAAAACTGAACGCTTCGCGACTCTCTGTAGAGAGAGACTCATGAAAGCAAACAGATCCCACTTTTGGGTTAACTCTTGTCCGAAAAATAATTAACTTAGGACCGGGCGATCGCTTATTTAAATGCAATGCGGTGGCGGTATCGGCGGCCGATCGGCCGGTAATAAATCTCGCAGGAGAGGGCGTTCGCACCTACTGCAAAAAGCTCGCGAACAGAGGTGCGCGCTATCTATTGGCGGTGGGGCAGCGCCGCCGACGCCGGTAATCAGAATTACATGAGAGGGGCGCCGCCCCCGATGAAAACCACAATGATTTATTATATTTTTATCTGTGCCTCGGCGGCCCGTTGCAACGCGAGGAAGAAAAAAGGTGGTCCAGATTACCACCGGCGAGGCCCTCGCCTAATGATCGCCCATTAGGGATACTCGGGGAAAAACTCCCGTGTTCTTCCGGAGGTGGGGTTCATCTCCAACATAAACTCCTATTATTGGTTTGTAATCGAAAGTAATCACGTTGTGCTTAATGATACGAAGGGTATTACACAATATACGTTTCTTTGAGTGAATGTTTAGTAAAGTCAGCGTTGGTAGGTAGTAGTAGCGGACTCACGGCAGCTATCTCTTCAACAAACATGCACCAAACCGGCGCTGCACGTGTGTGGGAGCCTTCCAGATACCACTTATCGCGCTCAGCGCGGCGAACGTGCGCCGAATCGCTTATTCGCGGACACACAGTACATTACATGTATAAAGAACAATACCCCGAATAGATCATTACGGATTCGGAACGTGCACTTCCCGAAGTGGCCGGGGGCGGCACCGATCGGCGATCGCCGCCCCGCATTACGTATGCGCTTAACATAGCCGTCAAGATACCGCAAGAACTATTATGCACTGCGCGCCACCGAACGGTTTATTTATAAACGAACCAGAAATGCACTGCAAGACAAAGAGCTTTACAGCTAATGAATCGCTTATCGCAAGCGAGGGGGCAAAAGTAACCAGACCTGGTGGCCGCAACTTCCCTTATCTGAAACGGCCACGCTGTAAAAGCGGCCAAGATTAAATTATTTTACGATAATGCGGCGTAGAAAGACGACCTACGTGGAGACATCTACGCCGAAGACGATGTAAATATTCCGATGTTAAAAAATTTCGCTCTTGGGTGGTTTGTACCGCCGAGATCTTCGGTGAGATTAAAAGCTTCGTCTAAGTTACAATCGCGTACGTGCGTTTGTGCATGCGCCCGTCATACGGTCCCCTCTTTGCCCATAAATCGAGATTCTCGCCGGACCGCCCATTCGCAATGGAGACGTATGTATTTATTCGCAGATTTTAAAAAATTTTACATGTCTTCCATTGTGATACATTTGTATCTTGAAGCGAATTCATCAGGATTGAATTTCATATATTTTTGAAAACAAAAATAAAATAAAAAAATAAGAAAGTTTTTTTTTCAACTCTCCAAGAGTAGCAATTACGGATACACTAAAACGGCGTTTAAGACGGCGCCGGATGAATAAAGCTCCCGGAGCTTTTTGCTCGGTGTTATCGTTGACCCAAATCTCCGCGTTATAATTTATCTGTATAAGGTCAGGCGTGGTCCAGAGCCTCGCTCTGGGATTGATGCACTGGCTAAAACTTGAAATTTTATCTTTTTCTCGGATGGAAAGGATCTGGGCCGCAGCGGTGGTGGAGATAGTGCCTTTCGCGCATAACTGCAAGTTTTCATATGTGGAGGGCTTATCTGCGAAAGAGTGGGCAAGTTGCGAAACGCCGTTATCTTATCTCACCCCGTTGAATATATATACCGTAAGTGTGCACGCGGGGAGGAAACTACGGCCGTTGGTGGTGGTGGAGGCGGCACTGCGGCGGCCATTCCCTGTACACTTCCCATCTCTCTTTTCCAAGCTCTTATCGCTTCAACATCTTCAAACTATTCTACCTCAACGGACACGAGACAGATACAATTTTGAATGAAAATGTTTGAGAAATAACAAATATTATAACAATGTTTTCTTGGCGTTTAACTTAATTCGAAGAATCTAAATGTACATAAAAATAAATAAAACATAAGTTGAAACGAATTAGTTACCCACCTTAACAAATGAAGGAAACGTCATGTTAATTACTAATTATCATGATATCTGCAAGATGGCTTAAGCATCGGCCACCTGTTGCATCGGACATATTGCGGGGTGTTTTATCACGAGGTTTATCTCCCCACGTTGCAGAACCGAACAATAAACAACGAACGCGCCCATCCAGCATATGGCGATTAGAGAGAGGCCCCGGGTCTGTTTCCAACCTTGAATTTATCTCTAAGAATTTTTTAAGTTTTTCGATCGGAAAAGCACGACGCACCTGCAATTCTCAAATGCACAAGTAAAACGTACTCTTGTGAAAGCGGCAACGGTCGGTTATCGATGCCAGGATGTTTATATTCCTTGGCAAAGACGAGCGGAGATGTTATCTGCGACGCTTGGTATCGAATTTCCGGCCTATAAACTAGACGCGGATCCTGTTAATTTATGCCCCACGCGGGCGAGATGGCATAGATCTAAGATAAGACGAGTATACGTTAAGTATATTTTTTTCTTCCTTTTCCACTTCTTCCTCTTGTCCGGAAATGAGAGAAGATTACTATAAATAGGCAAACATTGTACGCCTTTACTCAGAGCGGCCGTTATATTGAGTTTTATATACCGGGAAAATGCCGCTTTTATAAAACCGATATCGCACTCTCGGCGAACGGTTATATGAAGAGCGCTTTTCCGTATTTTTGATTATGTCATTAACGCCGATTCGAGATTAGTCACAGAGCGGCCGTTCGGTTGGTAACAACGGCAGCGTTGCACCGCCTCCGATAGCCGGCTTTAGGACTCAGCTTTCGCCACCGGAAAGGTATAGATTACAGTTACATTGCGCTTTTATACGTGTCGGTATAATCACAAAACGTCATTTCAATTTTTCTCAAAGTGGATCATTGAAAAAATTCGGCTTAAGCTTCTAAATTTGAATTTATTCGTTTATTTAAAAGTGGTGGAGGAGCCGGGCTTTAATATTTCTTTGGGTAATATGAAGATAATTTAGACGGATAACGGTCTATGCATCAGCCTTATCAGGGCGACGAAAGTTTTAAGTACGGGTGTGTAGTGCGGAGTTATGTGACTCGACCTAACGACGGACTTCCGATACCGACCGATAAATCTAAATTAGATCGCGATTAAAGCGATCGCAGGTGGTTTACCGGTGTGGTTATTTAGTACTGGATCTATCTTACCCTTATCTTAACTTGAATTTCTCTTTTATTTTTATTTTATTTTCCAAGTCGTTATTTCTTGACAAATTCGATTATCGTAATAATTTGCTTGGTTCAATCCAATTTCTGCTTGAATAGGCGAGTTCCGGCTGAGGTCTCCGAAGTGGCGAGTCGAGCGTTATTATTTCTGGTCGGAGGCCGATATCGGGCGTCTCCTTTATCGTCGCCCCAGAGAAACAGTGCGGCGTCGCGACGTCGTCTTTATCAGTCGCGGACCTCCGACGCCCGCGTCTTATCTATGCGGACCAGCGTCGGTAGCGGCGTCGGAGGCGACGCGTTATCAGCGTCGACGCCACTATTAGAATATCTAAATATCCCGAGACCGCCACCGTCGCCGCAATGTACGGCTGGCGGCGGCGATAAGCGGCCGTCCTTATTTATATTCATCAATGGGCGCGTTATCAGTTGCCGTGCAGAAATGTTTATTAGCACGACGCCCGGCGGAGAGCTCCACCTATCGGGGCGTCTACTAAACGACGCTCCCCGTCTCGTTTACTCGTCCGAGAAGATGCAACGGAGACCCAATTTAACGCTGTAAATGTATTTTGTTGACCCACTTTTTATCTTATGATTTAACCTACAAATACTTAACTTTAGTTATAAACAAAATTGTTTTAAACATTTTTTTCACCAATAAAATTCCTAGAAACAGCATGTAATAAAGAAGCTAGTAATAAAAGCTCCACGCTTTACTTTTAACTTCCTTACTAACTTTCTTCAGGTCGTTTCTAAACTTATTTTCGACTCTTTCCTCATAAATTAAAGTCTTCATTTTAATACATCCTTCTAAAAACCTAAAATTGAACCATTTTAATTCACAAATCAACTAAATTTACGCTTTTGACCTCAACCTCAACCTCCACGAGATGGACTATAAACTTATTTTCGAGGTTTTCCTCATAAATTAAAGCCTTCACTTTAAAAAAATGATAAATTTTAATTCACAAATCAACTCATTGTTTAACTTAAATCGTTACTTACGCGGATTATTATTACGAAAATAGATTAAAACCACGATTATTTATGGGATTAATGAATCTTGACAGGTACTAACCTAACCTCAAAATATTTTTAATTAATTTTTATAATTACCCATAAAATTAATATTTAATTTATGAAATGAATAAAAATTGGTATAAAATTAATTTTTAATCGAGTTATAAACGTTTTCATTAAAATTTAAAATAATTTTATTAAAGAAAATCGAATAATTTTTAAGGAAAAAAAAATAGGTTGGTACCTAATTAAATTGAAATAGTAACAGCAACGTCTTTTTTTTGCAGCGCCATCTCACCGTAGGAAATAAAAACCAATTAATTCATTTTAAAGTATCAATTAATTAAAAAAAAAATCTAATTATTAAAATTAGTAAGTATATATCTAAATTCGTGAGGGATTATTTCTAAATTACTACATTTCTACGTCTATTGATGGTCTATCGGGTTATATTTTTAATGCCATCTATCCGTTGACAGCAACACCTGATTATTAGACGTTTGTGTCATCTTCTTTTAGGTTAGAACCTTTTTCCATTGCTCAAAGAGTGTGAAATATAGCTTGAAATGAAGTTTTGAAACTTTCTAGTTCTAGGTCTAGTGTTAGTTCTAGTTTTAATTGTTGTGCAGCGGTAGACCAAGAATTAGAATCATTCGGGTTTAGCCGTCTTTAGAGACGTCCGGCTAAACCCAAATGATTCTAGTTCTAGGTATAGTATTAGTTCTACATAGTAACAGTGTTAGTGTAAAACTAGAACTAACACTAGACCTAGAACTAGAAACATTCGGGTTTAGCCGCACGTCTCTCAAAACGGCTAAACCCGAATGATTCTAGTTCTCGGTGTTGTGTTAGTTCTAGTGATAGTTCTAGTTTTAATTGTTATTCGGTAGATTATTGTATATTTTTATTGAAGTAGTTGAAGGGTTAAACATCCGTATTAGAAAAGTACGTATATTAGATTATATATTGGAACTATTTGGGTTTAGCCGTTTTAAAAGAAGGACGGTTAAACCTGAATGTTTCTAGTTCTAGGTCTAGTTTTAGTTGTTCCATAAATATCAGAGTTTATTTAAGTGCGACTGTGTAAGTGCGTGTATTGGAAGGTTAAGGTCCACTTATGTTCCGGCGCATCCACCGATTTTTTAAAAATTTTAAAAAACATGTTTTCTTAAAATATCGTATTGTTTGCGTTGTTTGGTGTCGTTACATTGACTATGGTTTTTGGGTGGAAATACGATAAAAAGGGTGTTGGAGGTGCACGATCTTGATATGGTCGACGGTGCAGTCATGTGCAATTTTTGATTAGGCTCGATTGTAGAGGTCGAGCATATAGTATCGCGTGCCTTTTTTCTACGATATGTTTATACACGAATAACCACCAAAAATCGTGTACACTTATCGTACGGCGAGCATCGCTTTCAAGCGAACATTTTCGCACATTATAACCTGCCGGATGATTAGTTCTTCTCTCTCATTCCAACTTGATTTAGAGAGAAAAATAGCGATTATCCCACGTGTGGCGTAAGAGTGAGTAATTACGGCAAATCTCGTCGTGAGAAAGGCCCGTGATTTCCCATCGCAGGAATCCATCCGTCATTACCGTGCACGGGGGAACCGGGGGGCGGACACCGGGTCATTAATTACACCAAATATTTAACGAGTGTGGGCCTTATCTCGACGGCGCACCACGGCACACATAGAGAAAGGGTCCCCGGGTATTTTTTACCGCCCGTTCCCGAGGTGAATAATGCCTCCGATAAAGCGCCCGACCACGATTAATATCTACTTATTATTGGGATGTCGGATTACGCGATTCCAGATACACCAGCTTCCAATAGAGACGTCATAACTTAACGAATTCCGGATAATCATCTATGGTGATGGTGGTGCGATTATTGTAGCGACGGCGGCTCTTCGTTTCTCAACGTGTACCTATTCATCAACGGGTGATATATACCCACCCGGCGACTCGAGACACGTGCAAATGAACGATAAAATTTATACAACGTTGTTCGGGCCCACGTTGAACACAGCGACGACGTCTGCCGTTCATATATCATAGAAAATTTACGCTTTTGACCTCAACCTCAACCTCCACGAGATGGACTATAAAAACGTGATTTCTTAAAAATCAAGATGATAATTTTAATTAATATCGTATTTATTCCGGCCCTGTTCTTTTCTTCTTAAATGGTAAGTGAGGTGGCCTAATTAGGTGATGCGAAGGAGACGCGATGGTCCCAGCGACTATCTTAAACAGATAACACTGTCCGGCGGTCTGAACATGGAGTGACAGTCGTCTGCAGAGGGTAGCTCATTTACTCTCGCGTCCTTTTGATCGAGATACCAACCATCGAGAAGGGAGACCAACCAACAAGAGATTCAACCGAAAGAGAACGACCGAGAAGAGGAGAACCGTTCAGATCAAGGTCGCGCGTTTATGAATTATTGATGGACGGTGGTCCGCCAACATGTGTCCCGTTTTCGATTTCGCTCAATTACGATAAGCGAGATATGATGAATTCGAGCGTCGTTATCGTTTTAACGATTCAATTTGAATTGTTAATGTACGCCGGTGAATCCGCCGATTCAAACTCGTTTAATATTAATCCGAACGCGACATGTTTATTAGTCATCCACGGAAATCATTTCTTATTTGTTTTGCCTCGTCTTCAGTCGTAGTTTCAACCTACACGTTTCGAAAAAGAAAGGAAGAAAGGAGTAGTCGGCCTTAGTTGTTGATTTATTGTTGTTTATATAGTGCCGCGGGGGGCAGCGGCAGCAGTTCCTCCGCCTCCACCCACCCCGGCATGATTTTGATGCATCGATTGTCCGCGTAATGATAAGTTACGTACCAGCGAAATGAGTTTCGTCGGTCCGAGGCCGTACTCGCCACGGGATCATTCGGCCCCGCGTGATTTATGCTATCTCGATCGCCCGGAATTGTGGATATAGGTGTGTATTTAAGGAGATACCGGAGGTTATTTATTGGAATGGGCGGATGTCGACATGCGCGAGTTGTTTTTGCTTAAGAAACTTATTATATTGTATATAAATAAGTATTATATAATACATTAACGGTTAGAAGCTTATTATAATTGACACTAACCAGTTCGAGAGACAAATGTTCCAAAAAATGGTTTAATGCTTCGTCGCCGTCCGGTTGGGGAATATAATACCTAAGAGAACAGGGGAACCGGGAAGAACGAGGCAATAAGAAACCGGTAACATATTGGCAGCGATGGTAGATGGCAGGGAACACACCGGCGGTCGACACAACCCTAATTGTCCGTTCCCTCTTAGCATACAATGGGCTGGTGGCGGCGGCGGCGGCGATTTTTGCGGCGTCGCGAGGCGAGAGATCGCGTATCTCGCTACCATCTATGGCGGCGAGCGGCAACTTACAAATAGCCATTGTGGTGGAACAGAGCCGCCGCAGCACCAACCTCCTCAGATTGTATAAAACCCCGTTTCCCAGACTGCGTAATTGTCCGAACTGAGCACGCTCATATGTGTGTGTGTAAAACTACCTAACCTTTTGAAGGCATATCACGATAAAATGAAATATAAATTTTCAATGAACCCTTTTTGGATCTTAAAATGAACGTGTAAAAAATAAAAGTGTCACGAATAATCGCTAATAAGTTCAAACGTAGCGTGAAGAATCATCGTTGAGGTGTTAACCCTTAATCAGATTTCCGAAAAAGCTTTACCCAATTAACATAATTATAATTACGTCCGACTTAACAAGGCTGTCCGCGAAATCTCCGGCCAAGTCTCGTTATCGCGCGAGTTCTCGGTCCCTGAAGCAGTGGGGCCGCTTTCGATGTCATAAATCTAAGCGGAGGGCCCCCCTTTCTGCACGCGGGACATCGATAACGCCAGGTATATCCATCTTGGCGCGGTCGTCCGGCGCGCCCTTATCGATATTGGCCTTTAAATTATTTATTTGGCGGCCCAATAAATAATTCATGTTGCGCATCTGATACCGATGGAACGCATTAATAATAACAACGTTCGCAAACGTTCTCTTTCTTTTTAAGCCTCCAAAATGCCGTGTTTTCTTCCCTCCAACCAACCGGATGTAAAAGGCGATCACCAATTAAAAACCATTTCTTCTCTTCGACAGGACCGATGCATTAAAACTCTGACGTGACGCAATTAAAGGCCTTTTGCTACCGGATTACAATTATTATTAATTATATTCGTCCTCGGAGATTCCCGATAGGGACCGGGTCGATCGTAATTCCACTTTGACGACGATCAATTAGGATTCAACTGAAAAGTGTCAAACATAAAAAACGATTATAATCAAATAGATAGTTTTATTGAATAATCATTAAAAGGAGTGATAATCTCGATTCCTATCCGTCTGAGATCTGATATAACGGCTAATTACAATAATCCGGGGCGCAAAAGCGAACGATTATTATTATTGCCGCAGAAAGAAAAACGACCAAGCGAAATTTAACCGTTGCTGGGAGCTTTGCGTCGAGCCGAGAGATGAATAATGAAGTAATAAAATTAAGTTTAAGGCCGCAACTTCAGGTTTCATGTGTGTGTGTGAGTTGCTCGCCCCATCGAAGCCTTCGGGTTATGGGCGGACTACGGTAGCCGATATTAACACCATCTTACAGCTACCGTATTCATATTCATTATTAAACGGCCAGTTTTAATATTCGTATTATCCGTATGATTGAAGCGTTCTAAAAACGAAATCTTTCATCTTAAGAAATATTTTAATTGGGACGCCCCCTCTTTTTTGATAACTATCGAGTGGTGTCTTAACGGCTTTCGATGGTCTTATGGCGCCACTCCTTTCGTCTCGTCGAGATACGTAAGAAAACAGCGTCCGCCTCCGAAGATAAGACAGGAACGCCGTTTCGCCGTCTAATTTTAAACCGGGCATTAGCGCGGACCCAAACGATAATCGGCCAAATTGCGCAGATATAATTTATCTCTTTACTATTCCCAAGATGCTATAAATCATACCACAATACTACAACCACATCGTTGTGCGAACGTGTTAATTTACTTCCCTAACCAAATAAT